ACACAGAGATAGTCTTATCGAAGCTCAGCCCAGTTGTGTGAGACAACAAGAGGACTGCCACATACTTGTACATGTCTGGCAGGGTTACGATATCTGCGTCCAAATTCTTTAGCACGATGAGCTCGTTAAGCCAGCCCATCAGTTGGTTTAGCAGACCATTCATCAGAAGCACCGTAAATCCCGAACGAGTAGGCGCGATGTTCCGAACACTGCATTCCACACGCATTCTTTCCACGACGCCACTGCACGCATACGTGCTTTTTGCTGAATGACTGCGTGGGCAAATTCCTTCTCCATCATAACCGTGGTGGAGTTAGTTGCACTTATCACCCATCCTTCACTTGGGTCAACACCTCGATCAAAACGTCTTCCACGGCCCCTCCCTCTGCTCCGACCCCTAGCCCTTGAGGTGCCTCTACCTCTCGACCCTGTTCCACCTCCCGCTCCGACAACTCCACCACTCGTACTTGCCCTTCCTCGCCACCGAGCCCTTCCTCGTGATCTTCTGCCCCTCCCACGACCACTCCTTGTTATACCCCGCCCGCTACCCCTTCCCCCAGTCCCAGAGTCAGTAGGTTGACCTTCTGTAGTCGTTATCACGCTAGATTGAACAGTCGGCAAATCTGCTACAGCATGAATTTCAGTCGGTTGAATCGAACTACGCTCGCGAAGGGGTATGGTAGTAGCTCTAGTCCGCTCGCCAGAAGGGGTTTGGCTGGTGCCTTCAGGAGGGCTTGGAGGGGATATGACATGATTGTTATCTTCAGGGCTGGTGACTTTAGCCATGGGGGTAGAGGTCTTGGTGGAACTGGCCGTATCTCAGCCCGACCTCAACCGACTTCCAGACTTGAAAATCCGGGTGAATCCAAAAAGGATGCAGTTTAAGGATTGGGAAGACTGACAGTGAACGGAACACTTTAATAGAAGCCAGAGGGGCACAATTGCGACCATTTTTGAGGGCCTACTGATCAGTATAGTGATCAGTAGAGCAAATCGGGAGAAAAGCCAAAATTGCCTACTGATCAGTATAGTGATCAGTACCGGCATTAGGGATATTCTGCTTCGGTGCTGATAGTTGATGTACTGTACTTGTAGATATGATAATGACTTGTCGAAATGTTAACTTTATTAAAGATAGGGCGGTGTCCTAGCAGTGATGTACCAGCCTTACATCCTACTGCAAAGGGCCTCCGTCTGACCAACTTACTTTCCCTACAGTCAGGACGCGGAAGGATCCATGCAGCATCAATGAAAATGTAAAGCACAGCACGGCAGCCCAGGTCATTTTTTATGGGAAATATCACGACTAGGTGGGGAACTAGTGCCATTTGACTTTATCAGTACGCACATTCCGGAAATATAACAACTCAGTGGGGGAAATCCGGAAACGTAACACATCAGTAGGGGAAACAACCCCTTCATGCGCCAAAAACCCTCCGTGACAGAAGTGGTAGGGGAAACGAGTACATGGGGCTCCATCAGTAGGGGAACTGATCCGCTGTGACAAGTTTGATGGGAGAAAACAAACTTAAACATATCTAGTAGGCGAATGTATTACCTCAGTCATCCTTAAAGAGCTGACGCAGTTCACAGTTGCGAGCCGTATGTCCCTTGAGATGGCACAGGGAGCACGAGTAAGAACGATTTCGAGCTCCGGGCCCTGTCTCATACCATGAACGCACCCGTTTCCCACCATTTCGGACCGGTCTCCCGTGGGGTTGAGCAATAGCCACTGGTATATTAATTGAAGATCCTGACAAGACCTGCTCTTGCGCACCAAGTATCACCCTGTTGAGATCTGCTTGAATTGGCATTGGAAAGATTACTCCGTCGTACTGTTCCTTCCACGCGACTGTCAAGTTTCTCGCCCCAATAAACTTGAACAAATTCATTGAGCCATACTTTTCAATTATCACGGCTGTTCCGTGCCAGCACGGAAACATAGAATCGTCTAAAAGAGCACAGCACGACGGTGGTTCTTGTTCCTCTTTGTTGAGAACCACCCGCCGTGTTTTGTTTCCGTCAACTGCACTGACTACTGTTGCTTCCATATGGTTTCTGCCATCTAAAAACTTGACATGCTTTTGATAGGGCCTACTTCGACGGACCAACATTTCCGAAAGTCTGTCAATGTGTGGCGGAACCGGTTTCTCACAATTGGGATCCACGTTCTGTCGTTTTAAAAAATGCCTTTCGCTGCAATTCAAGAACAGTTCGTAACATCGAGTGTGGTTCCACACTTCGAATTTGATTTCGCAGTGATGCACTCATTTGGCCTTCGGCCCCCTGGGAAGTTGTAATCAAGTCTTGCAGCCCAGCGTATGCTCTATATAGAGCCGTGTCTGGAAATCGAGATAGATCTTTGGAGGTTTTCGATCCATACGTCCGTTTCACCGCGTCCACGGCACTACGTGAGGGAGCGCGCACGGCTTTCTCGTATTGAGCGAGACCTTTCGTTTTTTCCATCCCCAATGCTTTAGCCATGTTTTTCTTAACATGCAAAGGGTCAAGGAATAGTTTCGCATTTTCCATAGTCTTTTCGAAAGAGCAATCAATAGACTTTTCCTGATCGACAATTGTAACTCGACCTGTCACATCAAAGCCTGACACGTTTTTCAGATTCCTGAATACCATAGTCCAAGATTCTTCAGACTCAGTCGCAACAGTGTGCGCAAATAGCAGAGGAACTAAATTGTGGTTGGCATCGTAGACAACAACTTCATAAGTAGTGCCATATGACTGTGCTCCGCGCCCTTGACAATGAGCGCTATCAGCTGCTGTCATTGCCCTCCCGTACCGACAGAAATGAATAGCGATATTGGGAACAAATACGAATCCTGAATAACATCGCCTGCCTTCAACAATATCGGAGCATTGCACAATTCTTTGATCAAACTGTTCTTCTTCTGGAAGGAGTCCACCTTTCTTAAGTTGACGGAATATGAACCTAGCGGCCTTGACGCGAGTTTCTCGCATTTCGTCCGCAGAGCAAGTAAATATTTCCACATAGTGCCCCAGTTCCCTTAATAACAAGGCATATCCCTCCATACAAGCCATCTCTTCAAGTCTGTTGGCGGCCACCATGCGTGATAATTCGTTCTTTATGGCACGAAAGTGTCGCAGACCTGGCTGGCAGGTGTAAATCGGCTTCGCATTAACAATTGATACAATAAATTTCGTAGTCACTGACGGGTTTCCTTGAAGTTCTGGAAGAATCATTCGTGCCACTTGTTTTGCGGTGTAGTCAGGCGCGCAATTTCCCCCACTATTTTTGTCACTTGAAACAACTTTTCCCGAACATGCAGACAAGCGGCCTTTGAACTCCCGCAATCTCCTCCACATTCCAGTTCCTGGGTTTCGTAAAAACCGCAATTTGTCTTTGCAATGACGTTCCCGGCTCGTTAGAGAAACTGTTTCTGCAGTTTGATGAATATTGAGACCTCCTTGTATAGATAGAAAGGCTGTATGCGCGCGGCAATACTTTTCGCATATCCACCTTGAATCCATTTCAAGACCGTTTTCAGGAATTAATTCCACTGCACATTGCGGATACCAACTTTCAGATGCTCTCCTCTCTCCCGCAAGCGCTTGCCTAGCCTCTTTTCTTATTCTTTCTTTGTAAGCTGGCTCGTACTCTATTTAACGTTTCCAATTCTGTTGATGATCGGTCCTAGAAGCTTGTCGTTTTTGTTTTGGATATGGTCTTTCGAGGAGTTGATATTTGTTCTGGTATTATATCTCCAGTCAGATCTTGCTGTTTTGTTTCCGAGACAAAAATCACGCTGTCATCGGAACTCTTCTCAGAGTGATCCAAATTGTCGTAAGCATAACTTGGACGATGCTCATCCGATTCACGATTAAACTTTTCTCTCATCGATTTCCCTTCGTCGCTGGGGAAAATGCTTTCAAAAATGTTATCGAAATCATCTCCGAGTCCTTCGAAGGCTTCGGAGATAATTTCGATAACACCCCTGATCAGGAGATAACCATTGTTCTCTTTCACAGTGAAGATCGTCGCCGTTTTCAAAAGCCGTAAATGTAATCGTTTCCGGAATTAAACAAGAACTGCCACTTGCGTGGCTCTCAGCGTACTCTTTGCATAGCTCAAAGCACTTCGATATCTTTTGCGTGCAGCGAGTTTCCAACTCAATATTATCAGTACCGCCGTTGTTCGGATGGACCTTGAGGCAGACGCTCAAGTAAGCACGTCTAATATCCGATAATGCGACACTCTTCTCTGTGCTTTCTGGGAAGAAGATCTTCAGAACCGATGTATTTTTCGGGATCGCACTAATTCTTTGAAGCGTTTCTTCAGTTGCGTTCCCCATTAATCTTAAGCGATGAACGAAGTCGCGATCAGTAGGGGAATGCGACCGCGTATCGTTATTCAGAATTTGTGGGGAGAGGTCGGGATGAGTGGGGGAATTGGACAGAGGCGACAGGATCAGTACGTGTCGGAATGAGTGGGGAAATTACACAGCAGCGACAAGATCAGTACGTGAAACCCAAATGTCTGACAAATATAGTTGGCTTTTTAAGGAAAACCCCCACTGATTGTGTCCAATTTCGTATTTCGGCTACTGATTAGACAGTTTTGACATAATTCCCCCACCCGGAGTGTCAAAAAAGCGATGTCGCCTACTGATTCAACACTTTTTCCCCCTTTCGTCAACTGATCGTGAAATCTCCCTTTAATAATCTCAGCTGTCAACATGCAGTGTATCCACAACTACTAAAATTCGTGTCTGTGTGTCTGTCTGTATGTCCTTGCGCTCCCGCGTTGCCATTGACGCACGGGGGCGGCGCCGCGGTGACAAGTGGCGACATGTGGCGGTTTTTTCGCAGGCCAGGCCGCCACGGGGACACGTGGCGTGACAAGTGGCGGCGGCCCCGAGTGACAAGTGGCGACACGTGGTGGTAAAATTAATTTTATTTTGAATTTCGATGGCGGAATCAAGTACCTCTTCAAGTATGTGTGCAAGGGACAAGACCGAGTGACAATGGAAATCACTGCCGAGAACGAGCGCTACGACGAGATCTCCAACTTCCAAGATGCCAGATACGTTTCGGCATCGGAGGCCGCATGGAGGTTATTCTCCTTTGACATTGTAGACCGCAATCCTCCAGTAGTCAGGCTTGCAGTGCATCTGCCCAACCACCACACGGTGTAGTTTGACGAAGGGCGAGAGCAGGAGGCGGCGCTTCGACCAGCAACAGGCACGAAGCTGACCGAGTGGTTTTAAGCCAACGAGAAGTACCCAAGCGCGCGGCATATTCGGTACCACAAGTTTCCAAGGTACTTTTAGTGGAAGACACACACCAAGTCATGGAGTCCAAGAGCAACCCTGCGAAGACGGAACGTCAGCAGCGAAGAGGAAGCCTACGATTTCAGTGGTACAGGTGTCAACGTAGTCGGTCGAATCTACACTGTCAGTCGGAGGGAGGGTGAGCGCTACTTTCTTCGCCTCCTCCTCACACAAGTGCCAGGTGCAACATCCTTCCAGAACTTGCGAAATATCGACGGCGAGCAGTGCACCAGATTCCGACAAGCTTGCTTACGACTCGGTTTGCTGGCCGACGATGCCGAGTGGAAGCACGCAATCCGAGATTCATTGCGGTCAAGCTTCGTTCCTCTTTCTCATCTGTTTGCTACGATTCTGGCACACTGCCAGCCTTCGGACCCTCTCTCGCTGTGGAACGACCACCTGGACATGTTTCTCACCGATATTCGCAATCGTGCACGCGGACAACCCATTCGAAGACAGCAGTTCCGCGATGATCACCACGCCACATCTTACGTGCTTCGAGAGGTACAGGAGGCCCTGCAGACCATGCGTTCCGACTGGACGCTCGCAAACTTCGGACTCCCACTGCCCGATGACAGCCTTCCCGCTTTGGAACAGCAAAACGAGATCGAGACCCCCGAAGCAAGAGCGCAGCAGTGGGAACAGCGACTACAGACGTCGTTCCCGCTGTTGAACACAAATCAACGCCATGCCTTTGACAAAATAATGGGCTCCATGCTCCCAGGCGTATCCGTCTCTGCATTGCTTCAAGGATCCTCAAGCACCGTGGCGGGACCTTCTATGCCGACACGAAGTGGTCGTCTCTTCTTCCTCGATGCTCCTGGCGGAACAGGCAAAAAATTCGTGCTCAGCGCCATTCAAGACTTCCTTCGTACGCGCCGTAAGCAATTCATCGCTGTCGCTACGTCTGCTGTTGCTGCTGTGTTGCTCGACGGTGGACGCACCGCTCATTCCGTGTTCAAGGTTCCCATTCCTGTATCTGCCGAAAGCACGTGTAGCTTCTCCGCAAACTCCGACACTGGCCGTACACTGCAACAAGTCGATCTCATCATATGGGACGAGATCGTCATGTGCCATCGACATTGCATTGAGACTGTCGATCGCTACCTTCGCGACTTGATGCAAACCGACCGGCCCTTCGGAGGAAAGTTCCTCGTGCTCGCTGGAGACTTTAGACAAATCCTTCCCGTCGTTCCGGGCGGGTCCCGAGGTCAAATCGTGAGCCCGTGCGTCAAGGCTTCCCCGCTGTATCGAGAGTGCCGATTCCTGCGCCTTACCGAGAACATGCGCCTTGCTGCTCTCCGAGCGGACCCTGCAGTAGATGTGGAGGCTCTCAACTTTCCAGAGTTCCTCCTTAGCGTCGGGGAAGGCAGACTTAACGGCGAATAGCGCCCGGAATGGATCTCACTACCACAGTCCGTTGCGTTCGAGCATACCATCCGCAATTTATGCCTCAAGGTCTTCCAAGGGATTCGAGACAATCACACCGACCCTGCCTGGCTCACCAAGCGCGTTATACTCACCACAAAGAACAGGCCGCTCGAGGAAGTCAACGAGGTCATCGGCAACATGATTCCGGGACCGTGTCGAACGTATTTGAGCGCAGACAAGGTCGAAAGCGAAGACACCAACGCGCTATTCTATCCCACAGAAATGCTCAACACCTTGACCGCCGTATCTGCTCTATCAGACCACAATCTCAAGCTCAAGAAAGGCTTCATCGTCATGCTTCTGCGCAATGTCGATCCCGCTACCGGTCACGTCAACGGCGCGCGATATGTCACCGAGAACATGACCAACAACCTGCTCTTTCTACGCGTTACCACCGGGTCACATCAAGGCAACAGACTGTGTCTTCCTCGAATGCCCTGTGGACCAGGAGACGACAACTTTCCCATCCCTGGCTTCACCCGAACGCAGTTCCCCATTCGCACGTGCTTCGCCATTACAACGAACAAAGCGCAAGGCCAATCCTTCGGTGGCTGCATTGGTCTCGACTTACGAGATCACTGCTTCTCGTACGGTCAACTCTACGTCGCACTATGAAGGACTACTCACCCAGGGAACGTCACTGTCCTCACTCGAGAGTCCAATGAAACAACGCGAAACATAGTGTACCCCGAGGTCCTTCAGTAGTTACCAAAAAAAGTAAACGCCATTGTCTTTACATATTTTCATTGCCACCCTTCCCAAATAGTGTTCCTCCACGCTTTCTTGGCTCGGCGCGCGAAGCGCGCACGGAGCCCACTTGTCCTCTCCTAAAAATGCTTCGATAGTGCAAAACATAACATGAAGAGAGGATAAAGCACCTGACTGAAGTAGTATAAATAAGGGAGGATTCAAGGCAGACAAGCTGCCCGAAGACACAAGCAAGAACGAAAAACAAAAAGCCACAACAACAAAAAGGCGATTCGCTTCATTCGCCCAGTCCTGCCGGTTAAGCCTTTATTGTTCCGCCTTTTGTTTTAATTTTCCTCTTTTTGTTTTAATTTTCTGCAACAACCTAGACTTAAAGTTGGATAGTTTTTTTGCGGAAGACGAAACAGACTCAAATTTTCCTGGAGTTGCTCAACTTTTTGTAATGGTTACGAGGGTGGTTTCCCTACCTCTTTTTGATATTAACGAAGTACGTTTTATCAAAAAGAGGTATAGCCGTTGTCCTGTTTAAGGATAGCTCTCACCGAATAAATAAAAGAGCAAGTTCTTTATTTTTCCGCTACCTCTAAAATAGGAATGTAGTTGTCTAAATAATTTCTATCTTGGTGGTATTAAATTCACACAGGATCAAGAAACTCCTGGCAGCGCACTCCCGTACAGAAGACTTAAAAGACCCCACCCTCTGCGCACGGTCTCTATCCCGCACGTCTGAGGTTAGTTGGAATATCGACGAGGAGGACTCCATTTCAGTATTGGACCTCGTACACAGTAAAATTGGAATTCACTACGAAATGCGCAGTACAGTGCCTTTACCGCATTTATTGACTAAAATTAAAGAGAACACAATGTATTACCCGTACAGTACTCTAAAACCAACCACGTAAAGGGAAGGAGTTGCGCACGTAACACCTCCCTACTCCGTGTCACTGTCATCAAACAGTGCACGACGCGTGCCACTAGACATGCGAACGCGGCGATTTTCTGTGTTTTCAACGTGTACACGGCGCCTCTTTCGCATCTGACTAGTTGATATGGCCCGTAGGCGATTACGTACACCAGTGCTGTGCTGCCCGTCCTCGAAGCGGAGAGGGCGGGCCTTGACACTCAGATTGGTAAACGCCAGGCACGCTTTGAACACGTGCTCGTAAAATCCCTCTCCCCAGCGCCACTGATGAGAAAGTACAGTCCATAAACCGCACATTCTCCCAAAGTAGTTTTCTACTATGACACAATCAGAAGATACTTGGAGATTGTAGTCCACGTCGTCGAATGACAGCGTTGAACGTGCCGGAGTTCGCACCGGGTGCACCACACGTAGATCTTCGGCTGCACCTTGATATCCCTTGTCCGCCAGTATGGCCCAGTGCTTATCCATAAATTCGCTCAATCGTCCCTCATCCGCGAACCGCAAATCACGTACCCCCTTTTTAGATGCCTCCTCATGAAAGGGCCTATTACGACGAAATATCTCCAGATCTGACACGGAGCCCGGATAGTGCTCCGTGCACCCAATAGCAAGACCAGTAGGCAGTACCGAAACTTCCACTTTGTACCCATACAGCTTATGCTTACCGAGGAAGTATTGCTTCCCCTCTGATATATTTCCACTCGGACGATTGCTCTGCTGAAAAGTGACGTCGACAGCATATCTCGCGTATTCAAAATCGAAAACATCCGGTCCTCCAGACGACACTTGGCCATTGTCCATTTTTCCTCGACGCGTGCCACACATATATCATACATGTATTCTGATATCATACGTATAAATCCAGTTATTAAACGTTCGAAAGTAGAACATTTAACAGAAAATAGACGAGCTGTAGAGTTCCATTGCCGACCATGCTTGAGTACAGTAAGTGTCATAAAGAGAACATCCAGGGCCTTGTACTGTGTTCTTTTACCTCTGCCAACATTCCAATTCTTTGACACGTGGTCTTCAATCATAACCCATAGTTCGAAGAATTGAGAGGAATCAAAATTACACATTGCCTTAATAGATTGAGAACCTCCGTCATTGTAAAACGTGTCATAAATCGGACAATTGGCGTCGTTCTCATCATGGCTGGCGACGACATCGTCATCAGTGTGATCGACGATTTCATTGACGTGTCGGTTGGTGATGTCCGAAAGAGCCTGAACAGCACGGGAGGGATTCATTTTTGAAGTAGTAAAAGGAGTCGGAGAAATGAGGAGCAGCTGCAAGATGTAGTTTTTTTCTACCTCAACTGCGCAGTTGTTCCATTTTATAGTGTTTAGTTTGAGTAGACTGAAACTGAGAGGCATATCTCACAAAAAGGCGGGCTTTCCCGTTTTTGAAAGTTGACTCGCAATTGCAGATATGATGCACACCTTAGGCTATAATCTGCGTTGCTGTATTATTTGCACACTTAGTTTACTTTTCTACTGATATTCCCCAAACTCTAAGTGCTTTCACGCTACTGCAGTACTTGAGGTACTGTACGTAGTTACCCTAGTGTGAGCCATAAAAAGTCAAAAATTTAAAGTACAACACTAAGGTTGCAGAAAGCGTTTTTGTTTCTAAAACTGAAGTAACTTACCAAAATACTTTTTGTAGACTTTAACTCACCAATCTAAATGGATAACGTCATCCGCGATGCAGCTATGGATACCATCACCAAGGAACTTAAATCGTATACACCACCATCCTCATATCACCACGATATTATATCAGTTATTACGTCACACATTACACGAGAAAGATCTGAGAATAATTTTGACACAGAACTGATACAAAAATTACGTGAAGACCTCCCTGTTGAAACTCTGTACTCCTTCGAAGCACTGAAGGGCACCACGTTCGTTTTCAGAATCACCTGTGACTTCTTACGTGCAGAAGGTGTAGAGTATAACAGACATCTCGCAACTGATCGCATGCCATGGGGATTAGAGCAAATATTATACTCAGACACACCGATAACGATTGCGCTTACGAAAGGCTTATTCAACACAAGAAGAGTAGCCGACCATGCATGCCTACTGACAAGGAAGTTGAACGTCAACCCAGCCCACCAATACAAAGTTATCCCCCCTGGAAACGTAACTCCGAAACCAGAGCCACGCATAACATGACATCGATTCGTTTAAAGAATCAGGATAAATTCACGGGAAACCGGATGAGTACTTCACGTAATACATCAAAAACTACATTGATGCTCCCCAAGACTACAACCTTGACCAATTCAACAAACTTGCTTTTTCCCACAACATATTCGATGGAGAAATTAAGCGATTCTATCGAGAGAAGGTGAGGGAAAGGTGTCTAAATTTTGGTCTGGCATACCAAGTTATGCAACACGAGTACAACAGCATAACTCGACAGAACAGAATGAGGAAGTCCCTCCAGAGCCTGAGAATCAATCTTGGATGCATGCCAAGAAGCTCAACACCGCAGAACCTTTGGAAGAGCTACGGGAGATCATCGCACGATTGGCTCCTCAAGGACCACAGACTCACCGTTCCGAAAAAGACAAGGTGGAATACCTTTACAACGCTGTCGTTGGAGCCCCGTAGGCGATGTCAGCGCTAGCGAGCTCTCAGTCTACATCCAATCCTTGGGATTTCCAACAACTGTATACGGCATTAGACTCCACCCGGCCTCAAGACCAGGAAGAGCAAGAAGTAAGAAAGAAAGATATAAACATCGGTCAATCTGTCCTACATAAAGAGATGAAATCTACATCCAAGTATGCTCCTGATCTCCACTACGAAGGTCAAAAATATTACGGACGACCGAAGAAACTAGGATCACGCTCATCTGCTCCATTAAGGCCCCCTCAAGATAAAACAAAAGACGGTCAAAATGGGTCAGACCGTTACGGCAACCCCAGGCTATGTAACGACGTCAGGATTCCAATCATTTCATCAGGGACTGCCCCAAACCTCGCAACGTGACGCGAACTATCTCATCCCAAGTCACGAGATATCCAAAGAGAAGCCATCAGATTCTTTTCGAACTCTGTTAACAACTTGAGGACGCTTTATTCTCCACAGACGAAGAAGACCCTTCTGCTTCCCTTACAGAGGAAAACTTCAGGCAGGAGGACTCCACCTTATCTGAACAAGAGACGCATGAGCATCGCAATACAGGAGAACAAATATTCCACAGTACTGGTGCTGAGAATCGGGTAATTGCATCCATCCTTGATCCAGAGGATTTTTTGAGGAGAGGCAGTCTATACTACCGTCATAGTTTGAAGTCAAAACGAAATGACCCTTACTACGAGACTGTCCTCAAGAAAAAACGGTCTCGTTACAAAATCTCGCGAATCACCTAACAAGGATAGTCTATGACATGCGAAGAAACCGGCGTCTCAGACAACCTCCCAGTAATGCAAAGATGAATTCTGTGTTAAACTCTTGCCGAAGTCTTCCACAGGTGATAATCGATTTGAACGAACGCAGGAATGACTGGCAGGGAGCTTGCACCGACAGTGGAGCACGACGTACTGTTATCGGACTACATCAAGCCAAAGCATACAGCAGATTTGTTGGATGTAAGTTCAAACTAAAGGAGAAATTCAACAAGTACAGATTTGGTGTTAATGTACAGAAGTCAATTGGATCAATCTCAATTCGATTGCCATTTCTCAAGGACGGATTTTTGCCAATTGAGGTTGACATAGTTAGAGCGAATGTACCTTTTGTTCTGGGATTGGACTTGCTCGATAAACTTAAACTACACCTGGATACGACAAGAAATGTACTCATCAGCTCTCCGGGAAACCTTTCTGTCCCAGTCGTGAGAAAGTTTGGACATGTTTCCCTGGAAAGGAAACGGGAAGACGCAATTCTATTCTCAAGAAGTGAACTAGTCAAGCTTCATAAAGGTTTTCGACACCCAACTGACACGAAACTTCTGAATCTCATCA